GCCCAAGACCCTCATAGCCAGAATCGCACGTACTGCAGGATTGACAACTTATTCAAAGAGAGCATCACTTGGTCGATCGGCACGGAACGTGCCTTGCCGACCCCAAGCGCGTGCCGGCAGGAACCAGTTCCGAACGCTGTGAATACGTTTGGAATGCAGTGGACAGCAAACACTTTCGCTCTACAACTCAATGGAGTGGTGGTGCTGAGGGCCAACCTGGCAACGGTGGAGTTTGATTCAGCGTCGGTTGTGGCCAAGTTTTTTCTGTGGGCCTTCGGACGAGTTAACGACGCAGAGAATGTGATGTGGCTCAATGCCATCCCAGCGCCTGTGCTTATTTCTGCGAGCGTGGAGTGCGCCATCGGTGGTCGAGAACGAAGAATTTCATGTTCTGATTGGCGTGTGTGTCCTCTGTGCATGACTTGGGTCTGCAGCAGTCATATTCGCCGGAATCCGGAAAGGCTTTGTCCACATTGCGTTCAGCAACTTCAGGACTTCGTTGGTGGAAGTAGTTCCAATGAGTCACAGGGCTGCGTGCAAATTGCCCGTGACGCTAGCAGCCTGCCATCTGAAGTCTTGAAGGCCCTGTTGACGTTTTTTTTGACTACACTGACTTTCACGTTATGGCCACTTGCTGCAAAGATATCCGCAACACAATCGCAAGTAAGCTATATTGGCATGCTCGCCACATCAACCTCGCTGTCCCAGAGCTTGCGCGAAACATTCGTGCTCTGCGGAACGCTGCAGATCTCTTTGAAAGCTCTGCCTCCATGTCGATGGACATTCCACAGTTGGCTTGTCTTCTGAACATTCCGGCTCAGACTATTATCTATTGGAGATGTCAGCAGCTCCGCCTACCAGGCCACGGTGCACAGGCGTGGAGTTCGCCTCATTGTCTGTTTGGCAACGCCCGGTTTTGTATGAGGATATATGCAACAACGAAGGCGATTTACTTCGGTGCGAAGGCTCTGGACACCAACAGACGTTGGTATGTCCGCATCGAAGATCCTGGCCGGGAAACCTGCCGGTATTACATGGGAGTGACTGGCAGTCCTGCTGTCGAATGCCCCAAGCATCGACTTGTCAGGGCTATTGGCGCATCTTCGTCGGCTCATGTTTTTCATTTGCGGTGGCAGCCTCGTGAAATGGAATTGACGCTAAACGGCTTTGCGCTTGGACGTGTGGTTCTCAGAAACGAAGTACCCGACGCTCCGCTTGCCTTCTCTCCAGTATTCATTTGGATTCTCTCCACGTCATTTGTTCAAGAAGACTCGCGCGTCACTCCGTTGCTGACACCTATTACAACCAGTGGTACTCGAATCAAGCTGCTTATCTGAACATAGGAAAACTTTAGTAGCTTTCTGAACAAAGACTGCCGTAATGTAACTGAATTATTTTCAAGGTGCGATTTCTGCGGCGAGTGGAAGCCGCTGCTGCTGCCACATTGGTGCGTTTGCCCTGCTTGTCGTGTTTGGGTCTGCGCTCCTCACGTGGGCACTATGCCTTGGAGGTGGTGTCCTTCTTGTGAACGAATTCGCTTTCAGGATTTTGTGGGTGGCTCGCGCGAAGAAGGCTTTCAGGATTTTGTGGGTGGCTCGCGCGAGGAAGCTGAAATGACACAACTTCAGCGCAAACGTTGGGCGCAGTCGAAGTTAGCAGCTTATGCTCGCAAAGCCAAGCGTGTGGCTGCTATGGACGGATTTTTGCCGAAACATTGTGAAGCAGAAAGTCTGGTCAACGTTCCAAGATCTCCTGATTTATTTTCTTCCGACACAGCTCTCGATGTGGACATACTGAAGTATTTGCATCCACACGACCGAGACCTGCGTGTTCAGTTTTTCGCCAAAGAGCACGTGTACTTCGTGGACAAGAAAAAGGTCAGGGGCTCGGTGACTGGAGTTGTGCACACGTTTGCAGAAAGCTTCGACGCCGACTCCGTTATCGGTGGCATGTAGCGCAGCGCCAATTGGCCTCGGGTTGGCTATCTGCGACAGCATGTCACGTTCGATGACATTCAGCCGCTTCACATCGCGTCGCCCCAATTGCTAGAGCTGTTTGCGGGTAGTCCTCGAGACGAGACGCAAATTTGTCGCCTGCTTCAAGCGTTGCGGCATGACCCGGCGCTGCAAGAAAAAATTTCTCGCTTGGCCAAGACCACGGACGAAATCAAGGCGGAGTGGACAAACAACGGTCAACGGGCTGCGCACTACGGTACATATATGCACTATGTCTTCGAGGCTTACTTGAACGGCCACGTGGTGCCGTGTTCGCCAGAGGTTGAAATGCTGCAGAAATTCTTGTGTTCGTTGCGCAACAACTGCAAAGCTTGGCGGACCGAGTGGCTCATCTTTGCAGAGGAAGAACAAATCGCAGGGTCCATCGACTTCGTTGGCCGGCGCGACGATGGAACTTTCATACTGGTGGACTGGAAACGCACTGCAGGACTGCGAGCAACCACATTCTGTACTTCATTTCGACGGATGATGAAACAACCTTTGCAGCATCTTCAAGACACGAAAGAAATCCATTACTGTTTGCAGCTTAACACATATCGCCATATTTTGGAGAAGTACTACAACATCACCGTGTCGGCTATGTTTGTGGTTTGCTGTCATCCTGAGCACCGTGACAATCCGCTCATACTTCCAGTTTCTCGGATGGAAAAAGAAACCGTGGACATGCTGCGAGCCTGGCGGGACTATGAGGGTGGATCAACGACAGAGCCACACAGGACGGCCGAACGCAGAATACTTCTATCCGGCACTGTTCGTCGCTATCAAAGGCTGTTTGATGTGCATCCCATGGCTGCGGATTTGTTGCCAAATCCAGAAGAATGGGCGCAGGAGTCAAAACGACACTGGGAAAAATGTATGTGCATGCTCAGAACATTCCTGAGACTATTGCACGATGACTTCGAGAACAAAACCTACATTCTCTACATGTACGTGCACTGTCGTCTTCGGAAAGACAGATGCCTACAAGCCAGGATGACAACAATGGTTCCGCACCCGCGAGAGACTGGCCTGTCAGACGTTGCGTGGCTCAGCTCACTTCTTGAGTTCGTGGTCCGAGATGCAAAACACTTCCTTTGCGGCGCTCCCGTAAACACAAACAATCTCCCACTTCTAGTTTCTTCCATTGAAGGCGAAACAGTAGACATGCTGCGAGGCTGGCCAGACTACGAGGGTGGATCAACGACAGAGCCACACAGGACTGACGATCGCAGAATACTTATTTCTGGCACTATTCGTCGCTATCAAAGGCTGTTTGATGTGCAACCCATGGCTACGGTTTTGTTGCCAAATCCAGAAGAATGGGCGCAG